CCCCCGGTCTCTGAGGGGGAGAAGGGGGATGCTGGGGTCCCTTGGCCACTTCTCCCTGGAGCTCAGCACCTCATACCTCCTCTGGCCCCTCCTGGGTCCCCTTTGCAGGACCCACAGGGTGATGCTCCCCTCCTGCATCACCTGCATCACCTCCACAGCCCCTGCAGGACCGTGGCAGCCCCCGCACCCAAGGCTCCGTGCTCCCCCCGGGGGAAAAGGAAGCCCACACCCAGGGCACCCACAGCCTCACCTCCCGAATCTCCCGGATTTTAGCTCCTGCCTTGCCGATGAGCGAGCCGCACTGGCCGGGGCGGGGTGAGATGACGGGGCGCAGCGTCACCGGTGCTCTGCCCGCTGCTGCCCCATCGCTGCCGGCTCCCAGGTCCTGCGAGGGAGAGGGGATGTGGCGTCAGGCCCCCAGGACCCTGCAGGTGTGGGGGCACCCGGCAAGGGTGTGTGCGAGGAGGGCAGCCCACCTCCTCCAGCTTGAAGGCGATCATGGAGACGGCACGGAAGACGGCGTCGGTGGAGCCGGTGATGGTGGTGATGCGCTCGGGGCAGGAGCCCTCTGAGATGGTGATGCGCGCGCTGCTCTGGGGATGGTGTCACACCCCGTCAGGGGCACAGCAGGCCCTGAGCTCCATGTTCCCCCAAGGGAAGGGCTCACCAGGGTGGCATCCATGCCTGTGGGCCTGGGCTTTCCCCCTCCCACCTGCCCCATGCAACCTTCCTCGGCTGCAGCCTTGTCTCCCCTGGGTCCACCTGGGAATGGGCAGGAGCCACCAGGAGCAGGCAGGACAGGCAGCAGGACCTGGCAGCCCCCCCGCACACCCTTACCTGCTCTCGTATCCTCTTAACAGTCTCTCCTTTCTGCGGGGAGAGGAACAGGGCAGGTGGTCAGTTCCAGGGGAGCCTGGGGCCAGTGGTGCCCTGGACCCCAAATCTTACCTTGCCGATGATGCTGCCGATTTCCTGCAAAGGCAGAGACGAGAGTGGCCGTGCCCCAGGCCGCCCCCTGCCTGCCCCATCCCTTCTCTGCCCACAGCCCACCGGATGGGCAATGGGCACGTCCTGCCCCGCACCCACTGGGACACTGGATGGCTTGCTGGGGACACGGGAACGGCCCCCTCCCTGGCTTAGATCCGGGGAAAAAATCCTTCTGGGAATGCTGTTCCCAGGAGAATTGGGAGTGGGGGAGGAAAGCAGCATGTGGCAAGGAGCTGGTGCTCCAGCATGGCCCCCCACCCCAGGCATTGCTGACATCCCTGAGCGGCACTGAGTCCCGCCACCATTACCTTGCCGTGCATGAGCATGCGGAGGGTGAGGGTGATGCTGAGCTCTGTCTCTTCGAAGCTGCCGCCCACGCCGCTGGCTCCGTCCAGGGCAAGCTGAGCCTGTGGGACAAAGTGGTTCTCCAGAAAGGGGAGAGGCCACAACTACCCCCCGCCTCCCCAAATCTGCAGCCCGAAAAGCACCTGAGATTGCTGAGAAAAAGGGAAACTGAGGGAGGGGCAGCACTGTGCCCTCCTGCAGAGGGGGAGGCTTGCACGGCCCCACGGT